CGAACATCCGGAAAATCGATTTTATTTTTTATATCCGATTTCGAACATCCGGTCAAATAACCTGATGTCCGGAAGAGTGAGGACGAAAAGCGACGCACCCCAAATCGTTATCGTGACTCAACCTTTTGTATCTTTTTCTCAATGTATAACTGTCATCTTATATTAGATGGGTGTCATTACGCGGTCAAAGAGTATTGCTCTCACAACAATAGCTACATCCACTCCTGTTTCTCCACCCATCAAATATAATAATAATAAAATATGTTGCCGAGCAAAATAACGCTAGACCGCACATCGTTCTGTCTCTCCTTCTCCAATTAATAAATTTTTTTTGTCTTATGTATTTTTGTGAAAGACAATACTAGGAAATAGAACAAAATAAACTATATTATTAAAAAAAGCAATTCTTTTCTCTTACGAACATCCGTTATTTTATGTTCCGAACATCCTATGTTTTCCGCTGCAAACATCTGGACGACTTTGATTCCGAACATTCGGTCTTTTTCAAAGACACTGGAGTTCCGAACAGACTTCTCTGACCAATGTCCGTAAAAAAACAACGACGAACAGGGACTACCCCAAGTAGGCAATTATCCGCATCAACGCTATCTGAACACTCATTCATTCATCTCCTTAGATACAATCAGCTAAAAAAATATGGAAAGCTACTCATGATGAACAAACGAAAAAATATGAAATCGTAATGTTAAACGACCCGTTGTGAAGTATAAAAGCAGCAACATTCTATGCCATCGGACATATCCAATTACAGCCAACACACAGAACACGGAAAAAGCTGCTTTTTGGATACAACCGATACCTGCAAATGATTTTGCCATCAAAATGATGGCCAAAACTGAACAAATGGCACAAATTTATGCAGCAATACCGTACAAGGAAAACAATTAACCCCTGAACTCAAGATACAGTCAAACTAATACTGCACACTTCAATGAAATCATTATACAAATCAGATACCATCAAAACAATATCGTAGAACGCGCACAATATCATCTCGTAAAAAGACTACTTACAGTATTAATTTCCGAATAATGAACATCGATCAAATATTAACTAAGTAGAACGCTAATATTTCAGTCCACATATATCTTCCTAATCATTGATCCTAAATAATATATTACCCGCACATACCTGAGACAGTACAAACGGTCCCATCCCAATGAAGTTAAAATTTAGAGAAAATATAGAATTATCAAGCTCCTTTCTCTCTTTCAGATAAAACTAACACATAATAAACAATAAAATAACTCAATCAACCAAAATTCCACATGAATATCTGACAAGTTTCACAAAAACTTATCACTCGACAAGATTTTAGCAACATAGAAATACCTTTGGTATCGTGGTAGGTATACATACTCACGCTCCCACCCACACTCAAGCTTTCTCACAAAGTGTGAGTGTGGGTGTAAAAGAGATAGCACACCCACACCCACACCCTTGTTGAGCGAGCTGCGAAAGCAGAGATTTATACACGAGTCTTGTATTGAATAGTGGTGTGAACTGCATTTGTAGTAGAGTATACTATTCAGCGAAACCTTTCTCCGATACTGCGTAGCTTATTTTATGGAACGTGACGAGCGAAACCCTTTTTTTATAGGTGATAAAATTATTGTCTTTTGCGAAACCTAAAAAGGTTTCGATTTCGTTGCAAAAATCGGAACCTTTTCAGGTTTCGTGTGAGACATTTTTTGTTTTCAGTGTACCATCACCTTCGAAAACGAAATAAAATTAATTAGAAGTTTAGCAAACAATGAGATTCCAAAAGTAATAAATATATTGTCATAGTTATTTTGATGTTATTGTTTCCTATTATACTAAATGTATTCATCTATGTACGTATGTGAAAAGAAATAAAAGTCATAGTGATTTTCAAAAATCTGAAAGTTACATTTTGTTCGATCATCTTTTTTTTATT